GGATAGACACTATCAGAATACTGAATTTCCCCTGAAGAACTAGTTTCTCATCAAAGGGTATGTCAGGTGTATTTTAAGTAATGAGGCATCCATCTGTCTTTCCTGATGTTTCGCCTGCATCTATGGCAGGCATCCTCAGAGGTTGTGAGGTCTGTTGGGAACAAGGCAAGTGCAGTTCATATATCTGTAGAATGTCCAGCATGAGAGAAAGAACTCTTGTCTGCTTGAGGCAAGTGTGAATGCTGCAATTGACCACCTTGATTAGCACTGAATAGCCTTGCAGCTTCAAGCCTTGGCTGCTTCCTACCTGGGGAATCCTTTGTTGGGAGGTGATTAGCTGGCTCTGTTTCTTTTCTGGAATTCCTCACAACCTCTGAGGATGCCTGCCATAGATGCAGGCTAAAGGTAAGGGGAGAATGCTTCTAGAACATGGCCATACAGCCTGAATACCCTACAACAACCCACAGGACAGAAAAATTGGAGTTTTAAAAGCAGCTGAAAAGTGGGAGTTTTCATTTGTGCTTTTTTTTTTTCATTTGAGAAACTGCAAGTCACTTCTGGTGTGAGAGGATTGGCTGTCTGCAAGGACATTGTTCAGGGGATGCCTGGATGTGTTACCAACCTGTGGGAAGCTTCTCTCATGTCCCTGCATGGGAAGCTTGAGCTGACAGATGGGAGCTCACCCCACTCCCCAGATTCGAACCTCTTACCTTTCGGTCTGTGTTCTCTGGAACAAGGGTTTAACCCATTGCGCCAGTGGGTGCTGAAGGATAGGGACTCTGTACACACTATTCTTAGTTATTGTCACACATTTTCTCATGTTCCCTGTGTAAGGCATTTCTAAGTGCTGCATAGGTGTCTGAACCTACTTCAGTAGCAAGAGACTTTTGTCAATACTGAACCTCACAGTGATGTGATCTTGTGAGTCAGTCAATTCAAATACTCTGCAGGACTGCAAGTGTTGAGCCAAATGTTGTCTATTTACCTTCCACCTCATAATCTCTTGAGCTTCCTACCTTTTGTCTCTGTGGTTTCAGGGCCATTGCCTGGAAAGGTATTGGGATAGCAGTGTAGTAGGTGAGAGTAAGGAGAGAGGAAAACATTTCTCTTTCTAAAGAAGCCCAATCTTTTGGACTGGAGATAGTAACCACATTGTGGAAGAGAACAGTGGGTTTAATCTGCTATTTATAGCAGATATTGGCAAAGTTTAGTTTAAATTACAATTCCTAGGATCCTCTAGCCCAGGCATGGGCAAACTTCAGCCCTCCAGGTGTTTTGGACTTCAACTCCCACCATTCCTAACAGCCTGCTTTAGCTGGAATACTGGTTGGAGGCTTATGTGCATTGTGGTCATATTTCCAAGATTTTCCAAGCTAGAAGGACTTCATCTCAAGGTTTCCAGAGTGAAGGCAAGTCCAAAACATGACTTGTTGGAGCGCTTATATTTTCCAAGACAGTTTTAATAAACAGTTCCAAGGACATTGAAGTATATGAGTTTTTTTGACATTTTATTTTCTGAGATGGAACAGAAAATTGCAGCCTTGACTTTTTGGGTGATAGTGAGTCAACTTCCTGCCGCCAGCTTAAACATTTTGGCACAGGAGGCAATCAATCGGATGAGCAACTCTCCAAGGCAGGCAAGACACCACCACAGCAATTAAAGAACAATTTGTTGCCCTTTTCCTGGCACTTGAAATCACTTGCCTGAGGCAGCGGTCTCACTCTGCCTAATTGCTGGGCTATCTTGCCCTCAATAAGATCCTGACGGGTACAATTACACTGCTCCTGAACTTGGTTTATTGCAGTTTCAAAATGGAGAACCAAAACTCTTGAAAGCTTGCACACATTTTTATGCCAATCAAGACATGACCCCAATAAGGATTTTGGGGGAAACAGTAGTGGTAAATTGCAGGAAGATTTCTCCCTTCAAATTTATGCCACTGTTATGGAATGTTTACTTACCAAACAATCATAGCAAAAATTGGGAGACTTCAGAATAGGGATAGAAAACTTGTTGTGTACCTTCAAGTAGTTTCTGGCTTATGGTGACTCGTTACGATGAACCTATTGGCAAGTTTTGTTCAGTGGCCGGTTTCCCTTTTGTCTCCATCTGAAGCTGAGAGAATGTGTCTTGCCCAAGGTCACCCACTGGATTTGGGTTGTTAATATATATCACACTGCAGAGGCATGTTTTAGGTCAGTGGTGTGATCTAGGCTTCAGACTTGGTTTGTAGGAAGTTTTTGCCTGACAGTTACTTTGTGTACTTGTTTGGCACAACTATTGCACTTTTTCAGCTCTCTGTGTCTGTATGTCTCAATTGAAAATTTAAATTTAGTTTTGTTTTTTTTATCGTGTCAGGAGCGACTTGAGAAACTGCAAGTCACTTCTGGTATGAGAGAATTGGCCATCTGCAAGGATGTTGCCCAGGGGACGCCCGGATGATTTGATGTTTTTATCATCCTTGTGGGAGGCTTCTCTCATGTCCCCACATGAGGAGCTGGAGCTGATAGAGGGAGCTCATCCACCTCCCTGGATTCAAACCTGCGACCTGTGTCCTGCTGGCACAGGGGTTTAACCCACTGCGCTACCAGGGGCTCCTTCAATTTAGTTAAAATAGCAAACAGTTTAGGGTAGACTGATGGATTTACTGGTATTATCATGTAGACTTTTGCGGACCAGAGACCATCTGATGATATCATCTTTAGGCCACTTTACTCATAATAAAAACCAGCTTGGCACTACCAAAGGTCTTCCTAAAGTTTCTCAAAGCTCTCCAGAGATAAATCTAATAATGCAGTATTATACTGTTAGGGGAAACTACCCAAAAATATAGCAGAGCATCCAAAAATCAAACAGGATACAAAAAGTTGAGCATCAACTCATTAGCGAGCAGAGCGTGAAGTGCTGTTGGTTGTGGCTCTAAAGAATTTAGAGCTTAGGCAGGCAAAGATGCAGAGTCCAATCTTAAAAATCACAAAAGGTTTGTTTACAATAGTAAATAATAACTGCACTTCATGGTAAAGAACTGAGTCTGTTCTACTCTTAACACTTACTTCTTCTAAGGTTTCAAGAGAGGGAAAAAACACCCAAGCACTACATCTCCTTGACACACAAGCAGAGAGAGATCTCAAAGCACACAGCACATATTCAGATTTAAGAAACAGAAGTCAGATTTTTTTAAAGGCTTGTAGTAGAAAAGTATCCATTCTACAAGGCTGTAGAATGAGAGCAGAAAGAGAGAAGAGATACATTCCCAACTGCCATACAGGAGACATGGGGGAAGAAAAATCCTCAGACTATTGTAATGCTAACTACTCCTCGTTGAGGACTTGAGACTTGGACAGATGCTACTTTAACTGATGGCTGAATGCTATGAAACCATGGAAGTTGTAGATATGAGAAAGAAGGCTAAAGACTTGTAAAATCACAACTCCCATACTTTGCTTGCGTTCAGCCACAGCAGTTAAAAGTGATGCCAAATTTCATAAATTCTGCAGTGGAGATGCATCCTGGGATGTAGTCTCATAATTCTTGGGTAATTTTCAAAACCTATCTTTACAATGCTTAAGTCTTTCTTCCTCCAGTTCCCTTAGCAGACACAACCAGTTCTTGTGTTCTTAGGAAGCCCGTGCCTAAAGTACAGGATGAGTTTTATAGTTGAACCTGGATAAAGTGTAGAATGGGAATGAGCCAAGCTCTTGTAATGACTTGAGTGTTGGATGAAGACACAGGAGACCAGGGTTCAAATCCCAGCAGGCAAACTTAGACAAATCATACTTTTCCAACCAAATTGAATGGCAACGACAGACCTCTGTGGAATAAATATTGCCAATAATTCCTTAATATAGTGACATCATAAGCTAGTGTCAACCTGGAGACGCATATAACATCAGTTATAGAAAAAAGTAATTTTAAAGAGCTATAACCACAGTAGTTAGGGAATGTGAGGTGTTCAATAATTTTTTTAAAAGGTTTAAAGAATTTGTTTCCTTCAGGCTCCTTTTTAATCTGCCCTACATGCCTGTAAAGAAGAGGTGCTTTTCTGAGTAAGATATACGTCAGCTTTCTAATGGCCCATCTGTCTGGAACATATATTCGAAGGGGCTATCTGCCCCTGGGCAGATAGAACAATGGAACAAAGGCAAAAACAGCACTTGTTTGCTTATCAGCGTTGATGTCATGGCAAACTGCAGTGAGCAGTGGGGATTGTGTATTAGCAGGATGGCTTTCGTCTGCAGGAAAGATCCAACAGATTAGAGCCATGATGGGCGGGACAGAAGCCACGATTTGTAATTTGAGGGCAACCTGGGGGTACAAGGGCAGAGGTGTCCAGGGAGATTGAAAGCCTTTGGGATGTTACAGATTTTGTTATGTGCCTTCCAAGACATATGGCATTGCTGTCCTACTGTTCCCAACCCATCATTTATTTAGAGGAGATTGTTCATTGTCTCAATCTGAGGCTGAGAGTCTGTGACTTTGCCCAAAGTCTCCAAGTGGGTTTCCATGATGAAGTAGGCTTTTGAACCTTGATCTACTACAGTCCTAGATCAGCCCTTATGATGGTGTTGTTGTGTGTCTTCAAGTCGTTTCTAACTTATGGAGACCCTAAGGCAGTAGGTACACAAAATCATGGATGATAGTGGATCTTATTGAAATGAAGGACTTTCTGGGCCAAGAATCCTGCAGAGATGCACTGGAGGACCTAGAAAATGCCAAGATAGGACATATTTGTCAGACACCACTTTTCTGTCATTAAGAGCAGACCAGTGGCTAAATTGGTCAGAATCTAATCTTTACTGATGGAATACTTATCTCCTTGTTTGACCAGTGGCTTTGACTGTAGAATATGAATGTCTGAGGTGTGAGAGAAAGCAATAAAATACCCTGCTCTCTAGAAACGGAAAGAACATCTCATGAGGGAAGTTACTAATATGTTTTTCCTGGACTTTTTAAAAACATTGACCCATCTTTTCCCCTGTGATTTTTTTTCCCTTAGGAGGATACAACCACAGCACAAATGGAACAATTTGCCAAGGAACTGAAGCACAAAAGGATCACAATGGGCTTCACCCAGGCAGATGTAGGACTGTCCCTGGGATTGTTGTATGGTGGGTATTTAAAAAAGAGGACATTTGAAAACACTAATATGGGAATGTGGGAAACAGTTGTATAATGGCTAAAAGAATTTGCACCATGATTTGGATGGGTAAGAGTCTGAATATTGTCTCTTCCTAACTCACTAGATGGCTGTTAGGGATTTTGGGAGTTGGAGTCCAAAACACCTGGACGGAGGGCCGAAGTTTGCCCATGTCTGCTCTAGTTAGAACTGTTGGAGGTTGTAAATGTAAATAAACAGAAGCTTTACCACTGTTTCTGAACCAAAATATACCCTGCAGTATAATAATGTGTTACCCAGATGTGTGTAAGGAGTAACAGTAACAGTACTTCAGTTCAAAAGGTCAAACAGAGCAACAATACATACAGCAGTCTCTCTGAATTCTTACAGATGGAATAAACAGTCCTTAAAATATGCTTTATGTCTTAGACATGATCAGTCTTTGGAGAGTTGGCAGCCATTTCCTTCCTGGCTGTTTCTAGTCAACACTCTCTTCACTCTCCAGGGTGAAAGTGGCAGTTAAAACTGTTTGTCTCAGCAGTAGCCAATCAGAATTCCAGCTCCTGGCATACTCAGCCAATTGGCTGCTAACGCATGACTTTCCAGTCAACCCATTTCATCAATGGTGCCTTTTTACAAATGCCCACAAGAACTACTCATTTTTAGACCGAGGCCTTACTTGTCCATTTTTTTCTTGAAATCCCAACCTAACCCTTGTCTCTTCTCCTCATGTCCATGTCTTTTCTTCCTCCTGCAGGAAAAATGTTCAGCCAGACCACCATCTGCCGTTTTGAAGCTTTGCAGCTCAGCTTCAAGAACATGAGCAAGCTGAAACCACTTCTCCAGCGTTGGCTGCAAGAAGCGGACAGGAATGAGAACTTGCAGGAGGTAAAGTACCAGAATGAGCCATATGGAGATTCTCTTTCATTCCCTGGAGGCAGATTAATGTTCATGGGGCTCCCCAAATTATTATTTTGCAATATGTCCATAGATCAGTGGTTCTCAACCTGGGATCCCCAGATATTTTTGGCCCACAACTCCCAGAAATCCCAGCCAGTTTACCAGCTGTTAGGATTTCTGGGAGTTGAAGGCCAAAAACATCTGGGACCCCAGGTTGAGAACCACTGCTCTAGATGCATCATTGGTAGGGTTCAGTGTGCTCTCTGGCTGTAGGGTAAACTACAACTCCCATCCGGGGAGCAAGGTGAGCTCCACTGTTAGGCCCAGCTTCTGCCAACCTAGCAGTTGAAACAAATGTGAGTAGATCAAAAAGACAATTATGCTGGGGAAAGTGGAAGGCAAAAGGAAGAGGGGCCGACCAAGGGCAAGATGGATGAATGGCATCCTTGAAGTGACTGGACTGACCTTGAAGGAGCTGGGGGTGGTGACGGCCGACAGGGAGCTCTGGCACGGGCTGGTCCATGAGGTCACAAAGAGTCGGAGATGACTGAACGAATGAACAACAAAAGATCAATAGTTACCACTCCGACAGGAAGGCAACAGTGCTCTATGCAGTCATGCTGGCCACATGACTTTGGAGGTGTCTATGGACAATGCCCCAGTGCTGATTGGGGAGCCCCCGGTGGCGCAGTGGGTTAAAGCACTGAGCTGCTGAGCTTGTTGATCGAAAGGTCGCAGGTTTCGATTCCGGGGAGCGGCGTGAGCTTCCGCTGTCAGCCCTAGCTTCTGCCAACCTAGCAGTTCGAAAACATGCAAATGTGAGTAGATCAATAGGTACCGCTCCGGCGGAAGGTAACGGCGCTCCATGCAGTCATGCCGGCCACATGACCTTGGAGGTGTCTATGGACAACGCCGGCTCTTCGGCTTAGAAATGGAGATGAGCACCACACCCCAGAGTCAGACATGACTGGACTTAGTGTCAGGGGACTACCTTTACCTATGGACAATGCCAGCTCTTCGTCTTAGAAATGGGAGATGAGCACCACCACCTCGGAGTCGGACACGACTAGACTTAATGTCAAGGGGAAACTTTTACCTTAACTTTCACATAGATATAAAACAACTTCAACACATTACTCATTTAGGACAGAGCTTTCCAAATATTGCCCCCCTCCCCCCCCCCCAACATCTTGGTTTAATAATTCTCTCAAGAGTCCAGAAATAAATAGTCATTAAAAGTAACATATTTGGTTTACTCACACACTTCATGTATTCTCCTTTAAAAAGCTTTTGGAAACGCAATTGAGCACTTTGGAGTATGGAAAGCAGCAGCGTCAGCGTCAGCGTCAGCGTATGGAGGAGGAGGAGGAGGAGGTGGTGGAGGTGGAGGAGGAGGATTAGGACCTTTCACTTCCACCGGAATGCTGGCTAATCTATCTGTAGTCCACTGCTGCTGTGGTACATGAGAAGAGCATCCTTGATAGTCATTTAAATGTATTTTAATTGTCTTTTCTAGGCTTTATGTTTAAATGGTTCATTGATGTTATTAGTATAATTAGGTTTATGCAATTATTTGTATTTGGTCCTAGTTTCTGTATTAATTTCTCTTTTGTTACAAGTTTATGGTTACTATTTTCATATTATTCTGTTTGTTTTAAAATATTTGTATTTGACTTCGGGAATTGAATCTTTGCCTTCTTTGTGTATAAACCGACCTGATTCCCCTTGGGGAGAGAGGGCGGTCTATAAATAAAGTTGTTGTTGTTGTTATTATTATTATTGGTACATTTCTGATCAATCCAGTTACAGATAGAATTTGAAGTAGTTTCTCTAGAGCAGTGTTTCTCAACCTGGGGGTCGGGACCCCTGTGGGGGTCGTCAGAGGGGTCGCCAAAGACCATCCGGAAACACAGTATTTTCTCTGGTCATAAGGGTTCTGTGTGGGAATTTTGGTCCAATTCTATCGTTGGTAGGGTTCAGAATGTTATTTCATTGTAGGTAAACTATAAATCCCAGCAACTACAACTCCCAAATGTTAAGGTCTATTTTCCTCAAACTCCACCAGTGTTTACATTTTGGCATATTGAGTTTTGGTGCCAGGTTTGGTCCAGATCCATCATAGTTTGAGTCCACAGTGCTCTCTGGATGGAGGTGAACTACAACTCCAAAAATTCAAGATCAATGTCCACCAGATCCTCCCAGTATTTTCTCTTGGTCATGGGAGTTCTGTGTGCCAAGTTTGGTTCAATTTCATCATTGGTGGTGTTCAGAATGCTCTTTGATTGTAGGTTAACTACAAATCCCAGCCACTACAGCTCCCAAATGACAAAATCAATCCCCTCCCAACCCCACCACTATTCAAATTTGGGCATATTGGGTATTTGGGATTTGAAAATACATCCTGCATATCAGATATTTACATTACAATTCATAGGTAAAGGTAAAGGTAGTCCCCTGACATTAAGTCCAGTCATGTCTGACTCTGGGGTGTGGTGCTCATCTCCATTTCTAAGCCGAAGAGCCAGCGTTATCCGTAGACACCTCCAAGGTCATGTGGCCGGCATGACTGTATGGAGCGCCGTTGCAAAATTACAGTTATGAAGTAGCAATGAAAATAATGTTATGGTTGGGGGTCACCACAACATGAGGAACTGTACTAAGGGGTCGCGGCATTAGAAAGGTTGAGGAAACACTGCTCTAGAGCATTCTGTTTCAACTCACTTCTCAAAGCATACAGTTTCTAAAATGGAGTCTGAGTCCTGAACAGTCCCAGATCTGATCACATGGTCTACAGCCCCTCCTACAACAAAGAGTTAAGGAAAACTGCATACCAATACACACACATACAATATAGTAAGCAATCTGAATTGTGTACATATAAAATAACTAATGGAAACTTGAAGAAGGTTGCCATTTTCAACATATAGTTTGCAAAACACACCCACACCTCTCTCTGGAAAAAAAGAAAATAAATAGCTTTTACTCTGAAATGATCTTTTAGTTACTTCTTAATCTCCTCCAGAGTATTTTGGAGCAAAAAGGAGGGCTTAAAAAAAAAACAAGTTGAAAGTGGGTGAAAGGCGAAAAGGTGGTGGAAATGCCTTCTACACCTCTAAGAAACTATTGTCCTGTGTTTCAGAGCAAAATCAAATGACATGTTATCAAAGAAGTGACTGTGATAGCTACAAAAGTGATCCTAAAAAGATGGCCATAAAATGTTTCCCGTCTTTCTTTCACTTTCTGCTTCCAAAAGAGAAGAGGAAGGGGAGGAAAGGGCAGGGAGGGGACTTGGGGAGAAACCCCCCTCTCCACCTGCCCCCAAAATAGAAAGTTTGCCCATTCCTGTAGTAGAGCAACAATTTAATAATAATTAATAACTTTATTTATATTCCACCTCCATTTCCCAAAAGGGACTTGGGTGGCTTACAGAGCAGCACATAATAGGTAAAGGTTTTCCCCTTGACTTTAAGTTTAGTTGTGTCCGACTCTGGGGTGTGGTGCTCATCTTCATTTCTAAGCCGGAGAGCCAGCGTTGTCCGTAGACAACGCCAAGGTCATGTGGGTGGCATGACTGCATGGAGTGCCCATAAACACATAAAATACATCAGCATTTATAAACATCAGAGCAACACCAATTTCCTACCATTTATGTTACATAATTTCTAAAACTTAAAAAGATTCTCAAGTGCTCTATGTGTTTGCTTTATTCGCTCCCTCCTTCCAGGCTGTGGTAGTTCTGGTGTCAGGGCTCCCCCTCTACTCAGTTCTGTCCCTATGTTGCAACTAGAGGAAAGTCGTCTAGATTAAATGCTCTTCATCATACTGCCCCCTCCCATCCCAGTAGTGAAATGTATACTTTTACCTTGATCTGCAAGTCACTTCTGGTGTGAGAGAATTGGCCGTCTGCAAGGATGTTGCCCAGGGGAGACCCAGATGTTTTGATGTTTTACCATTCTTGTGGGAGGCTTCTTTCATGTCCCTGCATGGGGAGCTGGAGCTGACAGAGGGAGCTCACCCATGCTCTCCCCAGATTCGAAGCTCCAACCTGTCAGTCTTCAGTCCTGCTGGCACAAGGGTGTAACCTATTGCACTACCAGTTGCTCCTGACATGGGAAAAAATATCTTGCTCTGCCATTACCTTATGGCTTGAAAAAATTGACCTAGATTAAAGGTTACTGTCCTAAGTGAGAGGAAAAAATAACCCCCTCATTTTAGTTTGGGAACACTTTGTTTTGGGAAATTTTCAGTTTTAATATCTCAAAAGGAAAATGTGGTGTGGCTGTGTGTTTGAAAGTCAAGCCCTGGGCAAGTGTGAATAAATGCATAATATTTAATGACATCCCTAGGAGTTTGGAGGAGAAGGAGGAGGCAGGAGATCTGTACAGACAAATCATGACAGTAAAAGGAGAAAGAATAGAGGAAATTTTCCAAACATGGAAAATGGACATGGAAATTGAGAGGGAAGACATCCAAAGGGAAATAAGTAATATAGCAAAAGAAAAGTATAATGTATTAAGGGAAGCAAGAAGGAAAATGTTACAAAAATGGTACAAAACTCCTGCATAACTTTCACATTTTTTACCAGGGATAAAGGATAGGTGTTGACATGGCTGTGAACAAAGAGGGGTGTTTAATCATATGATATGGGAATATGATCGAGTGAAAGAATATTGGAGAATGGTTGAAGGAGAAATCAATAGAATGTTAAATTTACAAATAGTAATAGTAAATAGAAATGTACTACATGCACGGATAACAGGAGTGAAGAATGTAGAAAAAGAAAAATTGGTTGACCAATTAAGAGCGTGTGCACAAATTGTTTTAATAAGGGGTTGGAAAGATAAAACAAAATGGATATTGGTATAACTATATAGTTAATGGAGATTGGTATAACTATATGCTGGGGAAAGTGGAAGGAAAAAGGAAGAGGGGCCGACCAAGGGCAAGATGGATGGATGGCATCCTTGAAGTGACTGGACTGACCTTGAAGGAGCTGGGGGTGGTAACGGCCGACAGGGAGCTCTGGCGTGGGCTGGTCCATGAGGTCACGAAGAGTCGGAGACGACTGAACGAATGAACAACAAAACATATAGTTAATATTTTAATTGTGGAAATAACAAATTGCAAATGGAATAATATAGATAAAATTGAAAATGTTACAATAACTAAGAGGATGTGGGAACCAGTTAGGAATTATTTAGAGAATGTGTTAAGATGTGGAGTAGAAAAATTAAGACTGAGACTGATATTTCAAATGTAACTTCTGTAGTTTGGTGTATAAATTGCATGTACAAGGAGGGGAGGGTGGGAGTGGGGATAAACCTATAAAATAACTTTAAAAATCCCTAGGTTTTAGTTTCAGGTTTGACCTGCAAATGTTGGGATTTGGCTCAGTCCTGAACAGGCAACCATTCCATGACCCATTTAGCACGGTTATTGTCAACTATTTACTTCATCAAACTAGAGAAAAAATCCACTTAAAATCCAGTTTCTGCCTCCTGCAGAATTCTGGGGTTTGTAGTTTAGTGAGGCTGTTAAAGGCTCCTCCCAAAACCCCATAATTCTGCAGGAAGCAGAAACTGGATTTAAAATGGATTTTTTTCCTAGTGTGATGAGGCCATGTGATTGGCTGTTCCCCTCTGGGCTTCAGGAAGGATTTTTTTCCCTAGCTATTCTCAGGTAAGGCTATCTGGAGATGGAAAAGAGAATGGTAGTAGAAAGGTATAGATAGATAGATAGATAGATAGATAGATAGATAGATAGATAGATAGATAGATAGATAGATAGATAGATAGATAGATAGATATGGTTTAATAACCTAGGACTTGGAAGAAAGTAGTGAGGTTGTCCAATTCTGCAATACAGAATGTATCCAAGCACAAACAAGCCCCCATGAGTTTCTGTGGAAATGGGTGGGGATAGATGTTTCTCAAATATAAATTAACACATAATTTCCTTATCCCCAAGCGCTGGCCATCGGTTCGAGATTTCGGACTGGTGAGTCAAACTTTGTTGTTGATAAGCTCAAATTTTAATGCACCTTGGCTTCATTATTTTGAAAACACACTGTTAAAGGCATTTCTATTTTTTTTACTCTAAAAGCTCCAATTAATTTAGATGTTTTCAAGAATATTGTATGACCTTATCATCTGAGTGTACTTGGGCTGTAAGAATACCCTAGAATCACACAAGAGGACTTAGAAAGGCCTACAGATACTTCTGGGGGGAACATTTTTTTGGAGCATGGCCAAGTGAAATGGCGGATATCAAGTCCATGAATATGAGGGGTCATACTGTACATTGTTTCCAAGCGATGAGTCTCCTTGTGGAAAGAAAAAGTGGAGTATAAATACTACTATTTATTTAATTATAGTATTTATATTCCTCCCTTCTCACCCTGATGGGGACTTGGGGTGGCTCACAGAACACATATATGGCAAACATTCAATGCCGATTATACAATGACAAGACCAGGGGTCCTCAAATTAAGGCCCCGGGGCCGGATGCAGCCCTCCAAGGTCATTTACCCGGCCCTCGCTCAGGGTCAACCTAAGTCTGAAATGACTTGAAAGCACAGAAGAACAACAATCCTATCTCATCAGCCAAAAGTAGGCCCACACTTCCCATTAAAATAATAATAAGTTTATATTTGTTAAAATTGTTCATCATCTTAATTATTGTATTGTTTTTAAATGTCTTTTGCACTGCAAATAAGATATGTGCAGTGTGCATAGGAATTCATTCATTTTTTTTTCAAATTATAATCTGGCCCTCCAACAATTTGAGGGACTGTGACCTGGCCCTCTGTTTAAAAAGTTTGAGGACCCCTGGACAAGACAGACAGCAGATAGAGGTATTATATAGGCTTTTCCCCATCTTTCGGCACTTTTGGAGGCTGTGCACAATTCTGGTCACAGGGGGGTGTTGTTGCTTCATCTTCTTGCCAAAGAGCTTTCTTTGTTTGTAAACATTCCTCCTTTTTCTGATCAAAATGCCTTCTCTGCTTAATGCAGTTACTAATTTATCTACTCACATGGCTGTTTCCTATCTGCTTGGTGGGTGGGGAGCTGGGCTGAAGGTCAGGGGCTCACCCTGACCCAGCTTCAAATGGTCAACCTTTTGTTTGTCAAGATTTACTGCAGTTGCAGCTGGTGATTAACCTGCTGTGCTAAAGCCTGCCCTTACCGCTACTAATAATAATAACAATAGGAGGACTGAGTTTCAGGTTGGGAAAATGAAACATTAACTCCAATCTCTAGAAAAGGGTTTTGCTTTGTTTCAGGTGGAAAGTTTGGAGAAGGTGGTTTTGGAACCGGTGCAAATTATATAGGCTTTCCTCCATCTTTGGGGGCTGTGCTCGGTTCTGGTCACGGGGGGGGGGGGGGGGGGGGGGTGCGGTGGCTTCCTCTCCTTGCTGAAGAGCTTTCTTTGTTTGTAAACATTCCTCCAGTGCAAATTAGGGTGATGTTGCTTGGTCAAATGAATAACAAAATATGCCTTGAAGTGTCTCAAGATGCATTGCAAATACCTGGGATTATTACTGAGGTTTCTGCCGCCTCCTTGTGGCTTTCATAACCATCAAAACTAGGAGAGCCTTTCCCCAAATTGGAGTCCTCCATGGCGGGAACATTTTGGGCTCAATGAGCATATCCAATTGGCATCTTCCCCTAGGAGTCCAAACAGGAACCTGCAGTGAACTTGCAGTCAGAAATCTGTACATTTTTCATCTTGTGGTGCAATCTGTCCAACAAAAGAGGCATTTTATGTTGGGCCGTGAAAATGGAGGTTGGATGTTGTAATTATTTATTTATTTATTTATTTACTGCACTTGTAGACCGCCGTTCTCAGCCCTAGGGCGACTCACGGCGGTGTAATCCAACACAGCTAAGGGAGGGGAAGCAATGTGGAAAGGGGAGTATTTCCCTTCAAGTCACCTGTTGACTTATGGTGACCCCATAACTTTTGTAAGGTTCAGACAAAGAATATTCAGAGGTGGATTTGCCAGTTCCTTCCTCTGAAATAGAGCTAACAACACCTGATATTCATTGGTAGTCTCCTTTCCAAGTATGCCCAGATATTTATGGAGTGCATGTGGCATAATGTGATTTTCAAATAGCATTGCCCAACGTGGCTTTCCTTTCTGCTCGACAGCTATGCACCATGGAGTCAGCCATGATCCAGGCTCGGAAGCGCAAGCGTACCAGCATCGAGAACACTGTGCGGGGTGCCCTTGAGGCTTACTTCCGACACTGCTCCAAGCCCAGCCTCCAGCAGATTGCTCAGATTGCTAGTGAACTTGGCCTGGACAAAGATGTGAGTGACCCTATCTTATTCCATCTCCGCAGGCATCACCCCTTACACACAGATCTGAAAGCCACCATGCTTGGAAGCACCACACTTTCCAGTTGTGAACTGGAACTCCTGTGAGCCCCATCCAGCATGGCCAGTGAAAGGATGTTGAATGTGTCTGCTGTGACATGTTTAATCAAGGCAAACAGGAATTATGGATCTCAGCTCCGTTCTACACTGCTCCATGCTATCGATCATTTGATCCTAAGGTGGCAGCAAATATTAAACATTTCTGGTTTAAAGACCATAAATCAAGATAATTATTTATGAACACAGTTCTCAGCTGTCTCAAGATCAGAGCAAAGTCTGAGTGTTATGTTTCTAACATCGCCTACCCTTATTACTCTGTTGTAATTTCAAAGACTTTCTTTTAGATCAGTGCTGCTATTGTGTATCTTCAAGTCATTTCTGACTTCTGGATACCTTAAGAGTGAATCTATCATTGAGCATTCTTGTCAAGATTTCCTCAAAAGCGGTTTGCAGTTGCCTTGCTCTGAGACAATGTGATTTGCCCAAAGGTCCCAATAGGTTTCTGTGGCTGAGCTGGAATTTAAACCCTAGTGTCCCAGAGTCCTAGTCGAACACTCCAAATATGACACCACACTGGTTTTCTGAAGTGGTGTGTGGTGCCTCAATTCAACATAAAGATAGTAAATACAGAGTCCCTATTATTCCGATTTTAGAAATGGAAAGACAAGTTGTGGGATGGGTATCTAATTAAGACTACCTAGTGGCCATGACCAGAGGTACATACTCCTGAGAAACGTTTTTGTGCTTCATAGGTTCGCAGCTTGAAAGTTCTCCTGAACTTATTGCTGAGCCTGGAGTCCCAGGTTTTGGCAGTGGCCAGCGGAGCTTTTGCACAATTAAAACCTGTGTGCCAGTTGTGCCCGTACCTTGGGAAGACAGACTTGGCCATGGTGGTCCATGATTTTGTTACATCTTGAATAGACTACTGCAACATGCTCTACATTGGGTTGCCTTTGAAGACAACCCAGAAACTTCAAGTAGTCCAACGGGTGGCAGTCAAATTCCTTACTGGAGCATACAACTCCTCTGTTGCATCAGCTCCATTGGCTGCCAGTTTGCTACTGGGACCAATTCAAAGTGCTGGCTTGGGCCTATAAAGCCCTAAACCAGCTTTTCTCAACCTGGGGATCAGAACCTTTGTGGGGGAAGTCAGTACTCGGTGTCAGAGGGGTTACAAGACCATGAGAAAATACAGTATTTTCCGTTGGTTATGTGGGTTCTGTGTGGGAAATTTCTTTCGTCAGTGGGTTTCAGAATACTCTTTGATTGTAGGTGAACCATAAATCCCAGCAACTACAACTCCCAAATGTCAAGGTCTGTTTTCCCCAAACTCCACCAGTGTTCACATTTGGGCAGATTGAGTATTTGTGCCAAGTTTGGTCCAGATCCATCAAGGTTTGAGTCCACAGTGCTCTCTGGAGGTAGATGAACCACAAGTCCAAAACTCAAGGTCAATGCCCACCAAACCCTTCCAGTGTTTCCTGATGGTCAAGGGAGTTTTGTGTGCCAAGCTTGGTTCAATTCCATTGTTGGTGGGGTTCAGAATGCTCTTTGATTGTAGGTGAACTATAAATCCTAGCAACTACAACTCCCAAATGACAAAAATCAATCCCCTCCCAACCTCACCAGTATTAAAATTTGGACATATTGGGCATTTGGGCCAAAGTTGGTCCGGTAAATGAAAATACACTCAGCATATCAGATGTTTACATTATGATTCATAACAGTAGCAAAATTACAGTTATGAAGTAACAACAAAAATAATGTTAAGGTGAGGGTCACCCCAACACGAGGAGCCCTATTTAGGGTTCACAAAATTAGGAAGGTTGAGAACCACTGCCCTAAATGGTTCTGATCTAACTTTCTTGTCTGAATGCATCTCCTCTTATGAGCCAACTAGGGGGAGACCTGGTCTCGGTTCCACCCCCTTCACAAATGCAATGAGTGGGGATGAGAGACACAGTCTTCTCAGTGGTGGCCCCCTTGGCTGTGGAACTCCCTCCTCAGCGACATCAGGCAGGCCCCATCCCTTCAGGCCTTTAGAAAATAGTTAAGACTTGGCTCTGTATGCAGGCATTTGGAGAATAAGATATTGTGGATTTCAACAGTCTGAATAAGGACTATGGATCAATCAATAAGCATGGAACCAAGGCTCGGCACTTCATGTTTTAACCTGTTTTATTGTTCTATGTGTTTTATTTGCCTATGTATTTTAATTGGTTTATAGTTTGCTGGGGTATGTTTTTATTATGTTTATACATGGCATTGAATTTTTGCCACAGTGTGTAAGTTGCCTTGAATCTCCTGCAGAGTGTGAAAGGTGGGGTATAAATGAAGTAAATAAGATAAAATAATACTGGTGCAAAGCCACCACCCTAAAATAAAACTTTCAGAACTCTCTCACAGGCTGTGATAAGTTCTGAGATGGGGAAAGTAGAGATAAAGTAGAACATGGCATGATTGCTACCCTACCTTAGGAACCAAAACAGAGGAAACTGCTTTGACCATAATGTAAATATCATCATCTTCTTTTCCTTCCCTTTATAGGTTGTCCGCGTCTGGTTCTGCAATCGTCGCCAGAAGGGCAAGCGCAACATAGGATCCAGCCCTCGGGAAGAGATCAATGCTTTTGGCCCCCATGGCTCCCTCCAGGCTCCCTCCCCAGGGCTTGGAGCAGCTCATCACCAGCTGGGCCCAGCACCCCAGGGCTTCAGCTCCCCTGCCTTTGCTGCCTTTTATCTGCCCACCTACCACGATGGAGACCACTTTGTCCCTGCCAACTCTGGCTCTGCAGTCATGGGCCACCCTATGCATTCTAGCTGAAGCGCTCTCTTAACAAGCCCCCCCTCCTAAGTTTTGAGGAAGAGGATGGTCCTCCGGCCACTTCCTGCTGGTCTTTTGAAGGAAAGGGGGGTAACCTGGAGGAGGGGGTGTAGTTTGGGGTCTCTCTTTTTAAACATAGTTAAGGATAACCAGACTCCTTTTTGAAAGCGACCTCTTTTAGATGTGATTTGTAATCAGGATTTTAAGTTGATCACTCAGTTGTGTTCCCAAAATGAAACACGTCAAGAAGTCACAGCCATTTAAAAATATATATGTATGAGCTTTCATTTTCTTAGAGCCCTTGATATGTGTGGTCTGCCGTTCTATCAATAGCTATAGAAGTTAAGGAGAATTTAATTCAGGTTTGTCTTGTCTCTAATCTTTACTTTGCCCTCTGAAAATTAAACTATAGTTTTTAGAAGAGAGGGAAATGTGCCAGCCTTCCCTGGTCAAGCACTCTCCAGTTGTGTTGGGCTACAACTCCCTTGCTAGCTCGGGAGTGGTGGGAGTTGTAATCAAACACATCTGGGAGTCTTAAGGAGTTGGAGGCCATTAGACACTCCAAAGTAACACACTGTTGAAATCAGTAGGGCTCAGAAATGCTTTCCAGTTGTGTTCCTCCTTCCAGAGATGAGATGGCAAACACATTTTGATATAAAAAGAGATGAGATGCAAAATCAGATTGCTTTGAGTCTGTAAGGGGAGAATTGTCAGCTTGCCCGTGAAACAAAAATACCTGTTCGTCGAAACCAAGCTAGAACTTCCTTTCAACTTCCATGTTATGCAGGCAGAGCATTAACTTCTTTCTTGTGCAAGTTTAGAAAGCTGTCACTTCTGCCAACATTGAGGATAGTTTCTCCATTCCAAATCATGTTTCAAAGCATATTTAATGGAGGAAGGGTGTGGTTTATATAGGTGGGGGCATCAGACTAGCATCTGACTACAATTATGTAACCAAAGTCAAATAATCAGCATCTACGGTGGGGTGGTGGCAATGGATATCGTGTAAGGAGGTAGTGAATACCTCCTTGCACAGTGAACACAAAAGCATATATGCTTACCTAACCCCATAATGCTTAAGTGTATGCTACCAACAAGATCCTGCTTTTAGTCTGCAGATAAATAAGACATTCACAAGTATTCAAGGGATGTAGGAACTAGGGCAATGGCAGGATTTCACCCATTCTTCATTGGTTATCCTGCTTAGCAGCTTTGCTTAACTAACCCATCCCTGAAGTTTTAAAATAAGCTGTGACTGAATGAGTAATATATGTCTTTGATTAAAGAGTACCTCCACAAATTGTTTCATCTTTTCGATCTTGACTAGCTTTCATCTCAGATCTCTGGTTCTTCAGATGATGTTGGCTTTGTACTAATTCTCAAACCCAACTAGATTGACCAGTGGTCAGGGGTAACAGGAGTTGTGATCCAACATTGTGGAGAACCACAGGTTCTTCTGCCTTTGTTGTAGATGCTTACTTAGTCTCTTGAGCCAAAAGTCAGTGTTAAAATCTGATGTGTGTTGTTTGGAGAGGGACTTTTGCTTGTCCCTCTTCTCAGTGACTTGAACACTCAAAAGCTGGGGTTCTGGAGTATTTGTAGCCTCTTCTAATTTGTGTGATGCAAGATATGTACATATCACTTTTCTCAGTGGATTTATTATGATTTTTCAACCTTTCCTCCACTATCTTCTTTTGTTGTGCTGAAACAATCCCTTTAAGAAAGAAAAATGTGAAACTGAGCAGGTGTTGAAGATCTCCTTACTTCTGTCCTATTTCTTTGTCCTTTTATTTTACTATTTACTTTGATGTGGGTGAGGAATCATGTTGGTTTTTTTTTTTACTGGTGGGTTTAAAAAAAAAAGAATGATCCGTAATCATTTGGTCTCTGTACTTAAATTTTATGATGAGCTCCTGGCACTCAGACTTTTATGCATGACATGCTTTTATAGGCGAGAGACCCCTAATAAAGATTACTAAACATACAGTGTGCATGTCTGTGTCTTTTTGTTGTTGTTTGAGCAGGAACATTTATTTTTTATTTACTATACTTGTATACCGCAGTATTTTATAACAACAGTCCAAAGGACAACAGAAGCTTTTGACCGGCAAGACTTCACAGGAAAGATTAAGGCAGTTTATAACCATCGCCTTGGCACCAGAGGCAAAAGAGACTTTCAAAGACCTCAGAAAGATGCCTGCAACCAGCAAGTTCTCCTTTTGTAATGTATCAAGTTATTCTATGACGGTCCATCTTGTTTCAGGAAACTCATTTTGTTATCTTTTCACCTTGCCTCAAAGTGCCTCTGTCTGCTAAGGGTCTTAATCTTCAGAGAAGGTATGAGATAGCCCCCAAGTAAAGCCAGACAATATAGTTTTCCCCAAAGGCTCACAAATTTTATATATTTTATATATTTTAACTATTTTACCAGTTTTAGATAAACTACTTTATGCAATGCTTTTGACATGAAATAAAAACCTGCTGAGCTAACTGTGGCTGGAAGACCAGAGTTTGGAAAACATGGAGTTATCTGAATGTGGGCCTTAAGGTACAAGAGCAGGATTTGAAATTGACAGAAATACTTTTGTGGAACATTTTGAAAGAGGTTCTTGTAACCTTTTAAAAGCATTCCCAGTCAAACATGAGCATGCTCAGTGAATGTAGACTGGCGAGCTGGGAAGGGAAATTAGAAAGTCTTAAAGAACAGGGCATGGCAGGCTGGCATTCCATGGCAGTATTTTATGGCAAGCCCAACTCCTTATTCCACTTCTATGATATCAGCAGCTTGATATGGGTGGTGCAATGTGTTAAACCAGTGGTTCTCAACCTGGGGTCCCCAGATGGTTTTGGCCTACAACTCCCAGAAATCTCAGCCAGTTTATCAGCTGTAAGGATTTCTGGGAGTTGTAGGCCAAAAACATCTGGGGACCCCAGGTTGAGAACCACTGCGTTAAACCCTTGTGCTGGCAGGACTGAAGACCAACAGGTCGGAGGTTCGAATCAGGGGAGAGCGTGGATGAGCTCCCTCTGTCAGCTCTGGCTCCCCCATGAGAGAAGACTCCCACAAGGATGGTAAAACATCAAAACATCTGGGCGTCCCCTGGGCAAGACCTTGCAGATGGCCAATTCTCTCACACCAGAAGTGACTTGCAGTTTCTCAAGTTGCTCCTGACACGAAAGAAAAAGCAGCTTGAAACTGAGAAAAACTTACCACATCACCCTCTTTCCTGAGAAATTCCAAAGTGGCTGGGTACCCAGTTTAACTATCAGGCATTATTCCTGCCTAAAGTTGTGTCAGAGTTGATGTGACAGCTCCTTCAAAGTTCTTGGTGCAGTGGATAGGAGGATCAGAACTGGCAGGCAAATTAAAATATCAAAAACTGGCCCACTTTTCCTGCGGGTCTCGTGGAAGATTAGATTCTTTAAATTACAGCACAAAATAATAGTTTAAATGATCTACAGACCCACTAAGAAAATCCAACAAATGCTACATTCAGCAAAGGATAAGAGGGATCCTCTCACCTTTGCAGGAGTCTACCGTATACCATGCAGCCATGGACAAGTCTACATAGAGACCACCAAACGCAGCAGCATTGCCCAATTACGAATCAAGGAACATGAAAGGCTCTGCAGACTAATTTAACCAGGGAAGACAGCCATAGCAGAGCACCCGAACAACCACCATGTCAGGCTACAAGGAAAAGCCATTGAAATCCACAAACATGTGGACAATTTCAACAGAAAGGAGGAAACCATGAAAATGAACAAAATCTGGCTACCAGTATCACAAAAATTCTAAAACCAGAACAGTAAACAAAAAGCAACACTCAATAAGCAAGGGAATTCCAGAAATGAATAGATCAGAGCCAGCTAACCACCTCCCAACAAAGGATTCCCCCAGGCAGGAAGCAGCCAAGCCTTGAAGCTGCAAGGCTATTCAATGCTAATCAAGGTGATCAGTTGCAGAATTCACAACTGTCCCAAGCAGACAAGAGTTCTTTCTCCCGTCCTGCACATTCCAGATATATAAACCTTACTTCCCTAGTTTCCAGCAGACCCCACAACCTCTAAGGATGCCTGCCATAGGTGTGGGTGAAACGTCAGGCGAGAATGCTTCTGGAACATGTCCAACTCACAGCAACCCAACAATTAAAAAGAGAATGCATGCACTTTCAGCAGCTCTTATTGCCAACACATTTAAGGGTGCATCTACACTGCAGAATTAAAGCAGTTGGGATTTGTAGTTTCAAAATATCTTTAGCCTTTCCTGTCAAAGAGTTCTGGAGCCTCATCAAACTACAACTCCCAGGATTCCATAGCATGATGCCATGGCTGTTAGTGGGGTCAAACAGCATTAATTCTAGAATGTAGATGTAGTCTAAGACTGATGGAAATTGTCATGTAACTTTTGGAATGTTAGGCATTGCCCACCTCTGGTTTAACAGCCAAAATTTCAATCATTATTGGAACAACCCAAGAGGAAAATTAAACCAGATAAACACGTTTAATGAGGTGTGGGTTTATTTCAATAACAGTGACAATACCTGTAGCAAACCATGTGATGGTCTATTGCAAGGAAATTATAGACAAATGCCATCTGTGACAAGATATCTATAGGAATAAACCCGGGTCTCCTTTCCTAAACATTTGAGTCTTCAGTTACATTGCTTGATGGTTGGAGATACTCTTGTTCCTTAGTAAAGGTAAAGGTTTTCCCCTGACATTAAGTCCAGTCGTGTCCGACTCTGGGGGATGGTGCTCATCTCCATTTCTAAGCCAAAGAGCCGGCGTTGTCCGTAGTCACCTCCAAGGTCATGTGACCAGCATGACTGCACAGAGCGGTTACCCTCCCACCGAAACGGTACCTATTGATCCACTCACATTTGCAAGGTTTCTAGCTGCTCTTGTTCCTTACAAACATATAAATGGTAAGGGTAAAATTTTTCCGCTGACATTAGGCTGGATGGCCATCTGTCAGGGGTGATTTGAATGCAGCATTCCTACTTCTTGGCAGGGGGTTGGACTGGATGGCCCATGAGGTCTCTTCCAACTCTTTGATTCTATGATTAAGTCCAGCCATGTCCAACTCTGGAGGGTGGTGCTCATCTCCATTTCTAAGCCGGAGAGCCGGCACTGTCCATAGATGCCTCCAAAATCATGTGGCTGGCATGACTGCATGGAGCACTGTTACATTCCCGTCAGAGCGGTACCTATTCATCTACTCACATTTGCATGTTTTTGAACTGCTAGGTTGGCAGAAGCTGGAGCTAACAGAAGGAGCTCACCCTGCTTCCTGGATTGAACCTGTGACTTTCGGTCAGCAAGTTCAGCAGCTCAGGGCTTTAACCCACTGCACCACCGGGGGCTCCTCAATATATATGCATATGCAATAAAAATAACTATTTGGCCATTTGTTAGCCTTTAAGGGAGCATCCACACTGGACTCTGGGGGTTGGTGCTCATCTCCCTTTCTAAGCCAAAGAGCCGGTGTTGTCCGTAGACACATCCAAGGTCATGTGGCCAGCATGACTGCATGCAGCACCGTTACCTCCCCGCCGGAGTGTTACCTATTGGCTTACTCACATTTGCAGGTTTTTGAACTGCTAGGTTGGCAGAAGCTGGGGCTGACAGCAAGAGCTCAGCCCACTCCCCAGATTCGAACCTGCGACCTTTCGGTCCACAAGTTCAGCTCAGCGGTTTAACTCACTGTGCCACTGGGGGATCAAATTGCAATAACAGTAATGTGCGATCCTAAGATTCTAGAAGATGACTGCTTGTGTTGCACAAGATTATGAGCTCAGTTAATAGGACAGGAAGCTGGTGCAATTGTTTATGATTCTATTCATTTATCCAAGGCAATATGGAGCCCCCCGTGGTGCAGTGGGTTAAACCCCTGTGCAGGTAGGACTGAAGACCGACAGGTCGCAGTTTGAATCCGGGGAGAGGTGGATGAGCTCCCTTTATCAGCTCCAGCTCCTCATGCGGGGACATGAGAGAAGCCTCCCACAAGGATAAAAACATCAAATCATCCAGGCGTCCCCTGGGCAACGTCCTTGCAGATGGCCAATTCTCTCACACCAGAAGCAACTTGCAGTTTCTCAAGTTGCTCCTGACATGACAATAAAATAAAATAAAATCCAAGGCAATGGGAAGAGGAATTATTCCATCCCATTATTAAAATAACAGACACGAAAGGAGGACATGCTGGGATAAAAAAAGACAAGAGTGAACAAGTTCTCTCCTCCATAATAGTCCAAATAAAACACACACCTTAAATGCAAATAGGACGGAAGCATGAATATGAACTGCAGGTGACTCTTCCTTCCAATTAAAGGAGAACCACAGCTGCCTTCCAGGCATTTTGCAGCCTTAGATTCCCACTTATTTCTTCATATTTTTCCTTATTTGTCTCTTTGTATGAAAGCTTGAGAGGACCCAATTATCTTCATCCCAGTTAATGGCACACTTTTGGCTACCGTCGTGATATCTTATCTCTGTGTGAAGCCAATGTTACCTTCTGAGAACATCATGGAGTCGCAGCTACTAATTTCCATGCTCACAGACCTACATCTTCTGGAATATTGGGACATGAGGAACTTCTCCAAGATGGAATGAAAACAGAAGGACTATTGGTGGATTGGTTTACCAGGCAATAAAGCTATGAAATGCAAAGATACCGAATGGGGAGTGGGGTGGAGGCTCCTTCTTTGGAGGCTGTAAAGCAGAATCTGGATGGCCATCTGTCGGGGGTGCTTTGAATGCGATCTCCCTGCTTCTTGGCAGAATGGGGTTGGACAAGATGGCCCATGAGGTCTATGATTCTATGATTCTTCCAGTGTGAGAAGATCAAGGCACTCATTTACTCAAACAACTTTGGTGAGGTATCTTGGGTCCAGTCAAAATGAGCAAATGCACTCACATTTTTCATGAACCGCTTTTTCCAGTCAGCCTGTGTGGTCTTCCTCACTGTAAACCAGGGGTCCTCAAACTTTTTAATCAGAGGGCCAGGCCACAGTCCCTCAAACTGCTGGAGGGCCGGATTATAATTGGAAAAAAGCATAAATGAATTCCTATGCACACTGCACATATCTTATTTGTAGTGCAAAAAACACTTAAAAACAATACAATAATTAAAATGAAGAACAATTGTAACAAATATAAACTTATTAGTATTTTAATGGGAAATGTGTGCCTGTTATTGGCTGATGAGATAGGATTGTTGTTGTGTGCTTTCAAGTCGTTTCTAACTTAGGTTGACGCTGCGCAAGGGCCGTGTAAATGACCTTGAGGGCCGTAGTTTGAGGACCCCTGCTGTAAACCCTATACAGCTCTGAAAGACGCACTAGTAGCATGCACACTTGCACCATCTGTCCTGGTCATGCTCAAGTTGATTGATAGACCGCACCTGTGATCCAGGAGCCAGTCTGAATCTCCAGCGTTGGAATCTCGAGACCCCATGTCTTCACCAATGCAACAGTCTTCAAGACACATGAAAGTTGACATTGGCCAGCTTTATATTGCCTGCAGTAGAGCTTTCTGTCTCGGAAGTAGCAGCTGGTGGTGAGCGCCTGCTGGCAGATCATAGAATCAAAGAGTTGGAAGAGACCTCATGGGCCATCCAGTCCAACCCCCTGCCAAGAAGCAGGAATTTTGCATTCAAATCACCCCTGACAGATGGCCATCCAGCCTCTGTTTAAAAGCTTCCAAAGAAGGAGCCTCCACCACACTCCGGGGCAGAGAGTTCCACTGCTGAACGGCTCTCAAGTTCTTCCTCATGTTCAGATGGAATCTCCTCTCTTGTTGTTTAAAGCCATTGTTCCGTGTCCCTAGTGTCCAGGACAGCAGAAGACAAGCTTGCTCCCTCCTCCCTGTGGCTTCCTCTCACATATTTATACATGGCTATCATATCTCCTCTCAGCCTTCTCTTCTTCAGGCTAAACATGCCCAGCTCCTTAAGCCGCTCCTCATAGGGCTTGTTCTCCAGACGCTTGATCATTTTAGTCGCCCTCCTCTGGACACATTCCAGCTTGTCAATATCTCTCTTGAATTGTGGTGCCCAGAATTGGACACAATATTCCAGGTGTGGTCTAACCAAGGTAGACAGTGTAGACACTCCTCGTGCCAGGAGGAGTCACTGACGTGCATCAGGATCCGGTCCGAGATGGGCCGCTGGCAGCCCTCGCCAACTGAGGAGGAGGCTGGGTGCTGGTAGTCTGAGTCATGGATGGAAAATGCCAAAGCCTTTGTATGATTCTTACTTGAACTGAGCAGTCCTCCCATTGAATGGCATCAGGAAGAAGGTGGGAGAAGAATCACTGGTAAGTCTCCAGGAGGTTTCAACATATGCTAAGAGTTTCTGACTCTCTATAAGGAAACAATGGCCAGAATCTGTTTCAGAACCATAAAGTTGGAGGAGACCCCAAGGGCCAACTAGTCCAACTCATTCAGTCTTGCAAGGGACACATCACCCAAACCGAAGCCACACTCCTGGTTGCAGTCTGAATCTCCAGAGTTGGAATCTCCAGAGACCCCATGTCTTCACCAATGCAGCAGTCTTCAAGACACATGAAAGTTGACAACTAGAGACATTGGCCAGCTTTATATTAAGAAGGAGGCAAGAAAGCCAGAAGGAAAGGCAGCTGAGTTCCCCCTGAGATACTCCCATATTCTTCAACAGGCTATTTTTTAACCCATCCCTATTTATACTGCCACTCCCCATTATCTTTTCAATTTGTCTGTTTGGCTTGTCTCTGACTTCTTGTGCAAATTTTAACTCATCCATACATATCCACACTTTGCAAATTTATTTTCTAAGTTCTCCGGTGTGGCTGCAAACACGCACATCTGATTTGGGTTCAAGGATGTTATCCTGTATCTGAGGATACTCTGTCACGGCAACCTCTTAAGTTGAGCGGCAAGCAGAACAGCGGAAATCCTCCTCTTTGACGGCGTTGTAGCTGCATCCCACGCAGGCAACATGGAACCAGGCGTCGCAGCCATCGCACTGGACCCAAGCCACCATCTCGTCCTGGGGAAGGTGGCACCGGGGCGCAGCACACGGCTCTGATGAAGAGAGAGTCTGGGAAAAAACCTGGGCCGTTCCTCCCAGAGGGTTCTTCCGAGGCCGACCACGTCGTTTCCTGCAATTGCACAGAAAGGCATGTCAGAAATATTACAAAATTAACTAGGTATTTTAAATTACAAAAATGTGAGTCAAGCACTGAAAGGGTTCAATGACTCAGCAAAAGCTGCCATTCTATATAAATAAGCAGACGTGCCTGTAGCTTAGTAGGCCTCTGTGTTAGTTTGCCTCAGTGGGAGAAAGGTCTCAGTCTGTGAGAAGGCCTCACAGTGTGAGGTAGGCCTTAGTCTGTGAGAAGCTTCGGTGAGAGAAGCCCCAAGTTGAAGGCCATCGTGTGTGAAGGCTGCTGTGTGTAAAAAGCTACTGTGTGAAGCTCTTGTGTAACGTCAGTGTGTGAAGAGGCTCCGTGAGAGAAAGCAATGAGAAAGAAGCCCAGCGTGAAAGCAAAGAAGGAAGTATAAAGGACTTTATTTGTGTTATGGAAACTTTGTTCCTATAAATAGTGCAACAATATTATTTCACTACAAAGAAAAATGTGTCTTCTAAGGAAGACATATTTATTTATTTATTTATTTATTTATTTATTTCAAATATTTGTACCCCACCCTTCTCTACCCCTGAAGAGGGACTCAGACTTTCTGTATATATTTCAGATTTCAATATTAATGTAAAAAATACATAGCATAATTTTACATAGGATTTGTGCTACATTCAAACAGTAAAGACAAATATCACTTAAGTAAAATAAACATTAAATATTAAATAACCATAAAAAATATGGTGCAAACACTAAACATAACATAGGTCACAGTGTTTTTGTTCTCTTTATGACTTTGGGTTACTGGTGCTGGGCCACACGGCTGCTAATAATTTACTCTCCTGTGCATTTATGAGGAGGGTTTTTTTGTTAATAAGCCCACTCACCCAACAAGGCATAGTTAACGAAGTAGGTATGCCCTTGGGCAAGAGAAAGTTTTTTGCAAGAGGCTGAAGTGGCATGGAAAGAATAGGGATAAGTGCCTTCACCACAAAACGGAAGAACTGTTCAACACGTTTCAGCAAGCCTTTGGTTCAAAACTAACAATATGCCAGGTGAAAAGAAACAAGTAAGTCAGGTTATTATTTCTATTTTCATGTCAGGAGCAACTTAAGAAACTGCAAGTCACTTCTGGTGTGAGATAATTGGCCATCTGCGAGGATGTTGCCCAGGGGATGCCCAGAGGTAGAGAAGAACGAGATATAAAAGTTCCAAAATAAATAAATAAATATTTCCAAAATGCACCCAAGGATGACTTTTGTCTTCCCCAGCCTCTGGCTTTTTTTATGATTTCCAATTGGGTGGCTAAAGCTACGGAATATAAATGCTATAAATAAATAAATCTATATAAATAAAAATGTTAATGTTCATTTGTGGGATTAACATAACTCAAAAACCGCTGGATGAACTGACACCAAATTTGGACACACTATACCTATCAGACCAACAAGTGGCCATCACTCATAAAAACACTGAAAAACATAGCAGAAGGGATGTAAAAAGCCAAAAAAGCAACAAAAAAATGCTACAGCGCATGCGCAAAAACGATTCCCCCTGGCAAACAAAACACACAATAGATTAGAGAGAGATAGATAGATCAGGAGGACTGCTGGGAGTTGAGGTCCAAGAATAGGTAGAGAAAGAAGAAAGGGGAGAAAGAAAAAAGAGGAAGAAAAAGTTGGGGGAGAAGGAAGAGAAGAAGAAAAGGAAGGAAGGAAGGAAGGAAGGAAGGAAGGAAGGAAGGAAGGAAGGAAGGAAGGAAGGAGAGAGAGAGAGAGAGAGAGAGAGAGAGAGAGAAGAGAAAGAGGAAGGAAAAGTTGGCCACAGCAACACGTGGCGGGTATAGCTAGTAAATAAATAAATATATTGCAGGCAAAGGAGCTCTGGAGCAGCTGTCTGAGTGTCAGCTGCATTAAGATCACTTCTGACCACAAGGTCATGAGTTCGAAGACAGCCCAGGTTGGAGTGAGCTTCCGACCAATTGTGTAGCTTGTTGTCAACCTTTGCAACCCGAAAGACAGTTGCATCTGTCAAGTAGGAAAATTAGGTACCACCTCTGTGTAGGGAGGCTAATTTAACAAAATTTACGAGGCCATAAAAAAGACTCCAGCAAAGCATGCGGGGAATGCAGAAATACTTCATCAGTGTCGCAGATGGATGATGAAAGTGACAGCTCCCCTGGAGGCCAGAAAAGTTAAATAGCCTCTGACTGTTTGTCTATATCTGTTGTGTGTCTTTGGCATTGAATGTTTGCCATAAATGTGTACATTGTAATCCGCCCTGAGTCCCTTGCGGGGTGAGAAGGGCAGAATATAAATACTGTAAATAAAATAATAAATAAAGAAGGGACTCACACACTGGGCACAACATGTAGCTTTGGCCGTAGATCTTCCTGTGGGTTCCTGCTCTCCTCTGGCACTCCTCGAGGCTGGAGTCGTAAGGGGCTGTTATGGCAATGGGTATAACTTCTCCCCAATCGCTGCTCCTTGTCTGGCAATGGCTGCTCCTCTTCCAACCGCGTGATTTCGTCCTCCAGCTCAGGCAGCAGCGTGTGAGCAGACTTGCGGCGATTCCGAGACGGTTTTGGCTGGGCTGGGGGTTCCGTGCTTCGCCCCTTGTCCAGAGAGAAAGTGAAGGGCTGCGGCTTGAGTTTGCTGAGGCTGCCGATGGAGCTGAGGATGAGGGTGGCTTTGGAGCGGCACGAAAGGGAGGTAGGCGAGTGACGGGAAAGTGGACGGATACGGTGGTTGCCGGATGGCAACACTGGCCGGAACCCACTGGAGGAAGCCCAGGGGGCTTTGGGCTCCGTAATAGCAGCAAAGTCTTGTGGCCGGACGTGGACTTTTTGGAAAAGGAAGTAGAACTCGGAGTTTCCGTGAGGAGGCGGCAGGGCACAGCCCTCAGGAACTGGGTTGGGGTGGCCAAAAGTCAGAAGATCCCCATCATTTAAGTCCACCCGCTTGCCGTGGGGTATACGCACAGCATTCACGTAAGTACCTGAAGAAATAATTGAATAAAAGAACAATAATACCATTTAGACTGGAATGGACAATGGTACTCTAGAAAGTGTTGGTGGCCTGGAACTCCCCTCAGCCCCAGCTAGCAGAGGCACTGAGAAGTGATGATAAAAACACTATAGGCAAAGTGCTACAAATGCATACCCTTGCTGTATCAAAATGCACTTCATCAGAATAGGTTGGCAGTTTGCACATGTAAAGTGTGTCATCCTGAGATGTCAAAAAATAAACACACATGAACAAATGGGTAAGAGATGAGACATGTGAACATCAAGCCAAACATTCATCTAAACTGGGTTACTCTGAGTTTTCCGGGCTGTATGGCCATGTTTCTCCCACATCTATAGCAGGCATCCTCTGAATTTGTGAGGTCTGTTGGAAACTAGGAAAATTGGGTTTATAGATCTGTGGAATGTCCTGGGTGGGAGAAAGAACTCTTCTCTGCTTGAGACAGTTGTGAATTCTGCAATTGATCACCTTGATTAGCACTGAATAGCCTTGCAGCTTCAAGGCTTGGCTGCTTCCTGCCTGGGGGAATCCTTTGTTGGGAGATGATTAGCTGGCCGTGATTGATTCTTGTCTGGAATTTCCATTTTTGAGAAGCCATTGAAATCCACGAGCATGTGGACAATTTCAATAGAAAGGAGGAAACCATGAAAATGAACAAAATCTGGCGGCCAATATTTTTTTAAAAACCTCTTAAAATCTGGACAGTAAATAAAGAACAATACTCAAAAACAAGGGAATTCCATACAAGACATGTTATAAAGGGAAAATGGTATTGCTCAGATCCTTAGTTTATGAAAACCAAAACGGATAAAGGAAAAAAGTATTGCAGATTAACATTTCTGTTTGCTGATCTATATATGCACAGTTACCAATGTGTTTTAGAATAACGAGTGTATTTTTCGAGAGCAAATTTGAAAACTTTACATTTTGCAAGAAGCCTAGAATTGCTTTCACAAATACTAGCCATACTTACAATAACTTTCCACCTTTTCATTTCTGATTGATTTCTCTTGACAGCAGTGAATCCCTTCCCAGCTTTTATTTATTTATTATTTATTTATTTAAAACATTTATATTCCGCTCTTCTCACCCTGAAGGGGACTCAGGGTGGAGCACAGCATATACACGGCAAATATTCAACGCCATGACACAAATTCACATACAATACATAAATATTAAAAAACATTTATCAAAATATTAAAATACACCATTTAAAACCGTCCTAGCCATCCGCATCAAATCCAATTGGCTTGTCCAATCCTGCAGACATTCAAAAAACATAGGCTAAGATAACCACAATGCCCTTCCTTGCATTCGTTGGATAGGAATTCACCCCATCTTTTTCAGAACAGGACATTATCAAAGGACTCACCATGAGTGCTGTGGTCTATCAGGCTAACTTGCCACTCCCCAGCTGTGCTATCAGCATCCCTCTCAGCATGGATCTCCGCATGGATCCGTGATATCAAGGCGGGATTCTGTTCTGACAACAGAATGACATCACAGACTTCGGCTCGGCGGCCCAGCCGATAGGTGCAGCTGGGCCTGGATGGTCGGAAGGTATAGAGATCCCTGTTGGGTGAATCCCCTGGAGAAGCAGGGCCCATCCGGAGTAACTGGAAACAGGGCAGGGCCTCCGAAAGCATCGCTGGTTTCTTCTCACTTCCCACTAAGAAAAGTAGAATAGCTCTCAAGGCTCCTTGCTTCACTGAGGAACAGTCTAAGCAGAAGTTTAACAGATTGGAATGAGAATCCAATGGCAGTGATGAATATCCAGATGACAAGATGACATGCAGGTTTGCTGTCTACGTAGTAAGCCTCCTAATCCAGCTGTGATAAAGGGAATTTTGAAAGGGACCATAAAGTAAAATATAGCAGCATTAGGTGCAAACAGTGCAAACTAGGATTGCTACACAAGGCTGCTTAGCTGGATGTCCCAAGGACAAGTTATCTTTCGAGTGAGAAATTGGGACTAGATCCTTTCTTCAATACACGCTATTCACATTAAATTCATTTTCTCCTGATCAGACTTATTGCACGGAAAAACAAAGGCTCCTTCTCCTCTGTAACCTGTTTCTTGCTGTGATAAGTCTGGAATGCTGCTTCTTTATCTGCGCCAGTGTTTTGACCAGAAGTACAGCTTCAGATGCCCTTCAAGTGCAATTCTTCAGATGTTCTTCAAGTGAAATTCTGTAGAGCTCCTTCAAGGTGCAGCAACACTAGACTCTGTATACTACCTTCCTCAAGATCCTTTTTTTTAAATACTACTGGTACAATGATGATCTAGAAGCTTCTCAGATCTTTGCAAGGATCACTTATGAACCCTCATTATCTGAGTACCTGTATCAGGAGAAAGACCAGAGATAAAAAAATAAATAGTGATAATAATGACCTCTTGCAGTGCAGCAACTCTGTGCTCAGCTGACCAGTGCCTCCACAATCAAGGCCTGGAAAGTGATGCTAGCCCTCAGCGGAAAAAGCCGAAGCTCCTCAGATCCTTGGGCGTATCTACACTGTAAATGTGATGCATTTGACATCATTATTTTATTTTATTAAAAACAGTGTTTATTATCTATTATCAATCTATATATGTATGTGGCTGGGGTGCCCACTTCTACAGACAGCTTTAACCCAGTGTTGAGGAGCCATTGAAAGCCCTCCTTCTAATGACATTTCAGGTTATAGTGAGCGCCATGTAGCACAACTCCTGCCAGTATCCTCCCCAAACACCATACTGCCCACCACCCAAGCAATGCTTTCATTCGGGAACCATTTCCTCCTAGATTTTTATATCTATATAAATAAAAATGTAATGTTCATTTGTGAGATTAACATAACTCAAAAACCACTGGACGAATTGACACCAAATTTGGACACAATACACCTATCAGGCCAACAAGTGACCATCACTCATAAAAACACTGAAAAACACGGATAGTAAGCTGGCCATCAGCATCTGTATTGTCATTTAGCTTTTTTGGGTTGTTAAGTCCTTTCTGTTTTTTTTTGTTGGGGGGGGGAGGGTTAATGGGTGATGGTCATTCATTGGCCTGATAAGTGTCTTGTGTCCAAATTTGGTGTCAATTCGTCCAGTGGTTTTTGAGTTATGTTAATCCCACAAACAAACATTACATTTTTATTTATATAGATACTAGTTGTACCTGGAGGTAGAGAAGAAAGGAGAGAAAGGAGAAGGGAAAGAAAAGGGGGGAAGGATAGAGGGAGAGAAAGAAAGAAAATGAGAGAAAGAGAGAGCGGAGGTTGGCCACAGCAACGCGTGGCAGGTACACACACACACACTTTACTTATATACTGCTCTTGAAAGAATGAAAGAAATATTTGACCTCTCATAACATGAATGATTGTATCAGGAGAAAGTCAGGATAAAAATTAAATCAATCACAATAACCTAGCTGTGTACCAACTCTGTGTTGGGCTGCCCAGTGCCCCCACAGTCAAAGCCTGGCAAGGAACTCAAGAAACAGCAGAAGCTCCTCTGATCCTTGAAAGGACAAAAATTGCTTTGCCCCTCATAAGGTGAGTCCTCATACCGGGATAAAGTCAGGATAAAAAGAAATAGTAATGGTAACAATAATAATCACCTTTTGCAGTACAGGGCCTCTATCAGGCTGCCCAGTGCCTCCACAGTCAGTTGAAGTGCAGCTTGAGAAGTCCAAGTGTAGTCTTCTAGCGCTCCTTCAAGTCAGACCCTGTATATCAGCTTCTTCAAGATGCTTTCCTTGTGCAATGATGATCCAAAAGCTACTCCGATCTTGGAAAGGATTATAATCACATTTGATGCTTTCCTTGTGCAAAGATGATCTAAGCTCTTCAGATCTTTGAAATGACAATCACTGCCTTTGTTTCCTACACCAGGAAAAAGAGAGGATAAAAAAGAAATAGTAATAATACAGATAGTCCCTAAGTTACAAATATCGGACCTACTAGTGCAATCCCAGCTGATCCAACCCAGCTGATCCCTAGGTCGGAGTCTCTGGCTTCTTCTGTCCCTCTGATCCCCTGTCCAGATACATTACATTGCCTTCTCACCCAGTGCTTTACATTTTTAATTCCTCGCTACTGGCCCTGCCCACTGTGATTTATTTTCTGTGTTTAATTGTGATTTTATATTGTTTGATGTGCTTTATATATATATATATTGTAATTTATCTATTATTTTTATTTTATTGTCGTTGTATGTTGTTATTAGCATTGCTGTACTGTATTGTAGGGCTTGGCCTCATGTAAGCCGCCCCGAGTCCCCTTGGGGAGATGGTGGCGGGGTATAAATAAATAATAATAATAATAATAATAATAATTATTATTATTATTATTATTATTAAAGTGCGAAGTATGGAACCCTGTGCAGAAGGTTGGTCAATGCGACTTAAGCAACGTGTAGTCATTGAATTCTTGACAGCAGAAGGTGTGCTCTCAACATCTTTAAACTTACTCGCTCAACGACGCACAGTACTCACATCAACACACTAGCCATCCCCTGCCACGAGTTGCTGTGGCCCACATGGGGGTTCTGTGTGGGAGGTTTGGCCCAAATCTATCATTGGTGGGGTTCAGAATGCTCTGTGATTGTAGGTGAACTATAAATCCCAGCAACTACAACTCCCAAATGTCAAGATTCTATTTTCCCCAAACTCCACCAGTGTTCACATTTGGGCATATTGAGTATTTGTGTCAAGTTTGGTCCGGATCCATCATTGCTTGAGTCCATAGTGATCTCTGGATGTAGGTGAACTACAACTCCAAAACCAAAGGACACTGCCCACCAAACCCTTCCAGTATTTTCTGTTGGTCATGGGAGAACTGTGTGCCAAGTTTGGTCCAATTCTATTGTCGGTGGGGTTCAGAATGCTCTTTGATTGTAGGTGAACTATAAATCCCAGCAACTACAACTCCCAAATGTCAAGATATATTTCCCCCAAAGTCCATCTGTGTTCACATTTGGGAATATTGCGTATTCCTGTCAAGTTTGGTCCAGATCCATCATTGTTTGAGTCCACAGTGCTCTCTGGATGTAGGTGAACTACAACTCCAAACTCAAGGTCAATGCCCACCACACCCTTCCAGTATTTTCTGTTGGTCATGGGAGTTCTGTGTGCCAAGTTTGGTTCAATTCCATCGTTGATGGAGTTCAGAATGCTCTTTGATTGTAGGTGAACTATAAATCCCAGCAACTACAACTCCCAAATGACAAAATCAATTTTTTGAGTGATGGTCACTCCTTGTGTAGTGAGACGTTTTGTTGCCAAATTTGGTGTGATTTTCTTCATTGGTTCTTTTGTTTTTAAGGTACTCATTATGCATAGAGCATTATATATATAAATCTGTAGGGGGCGTCGTACGGCGTCGCATAACTCCTCAACCCCCCAACGAAACTGAACCAAAATTGCCATGCCCCTAGGACAACCCACTCGCTACAAACTAATCTACTCCACAATACAAAAAACACAACTGCAACGACAAAAACCCCACAAAACAACTGAACATGCGCACTGGCGGAAACTCCCCGGCACGCGCGCACCCGCCGCCCCTCGCCCCCCCCCCGGCAGCACACACGCGCGCGCGGCGGAAACTCCCCGCCACGCGCACACCCGCCGCACCTCACCCCCCCCCGCGGCACACGCGCGCGCGTCGCAAACTCCCCGCCACGCGCGCACCCGCCGCCCATCGCCCCTATCTTGTAATGTTGAAGGCTTTCATGGCTGGAATCACTAGGTTCTTGTGGGGTTTTTTTTTTCGGGCTATAGGGCCATGTTCTAGAGGCATTTCTCCTGACGTTTCGCCTGCATCTATGGCAAGCATCCTCAGAGGTAGTGAGGTCTGTTGGAATTAGGACAATGGGTTGATATATCTGTGGAATGGCTGGGGTGGGGCAAAGAGCTCTTCTCTGCTGGAGCTAGGTGTGAATGTTTCAACTGACCACCTTCATTAGCATTTGAAGGCCTGGCTGAGCCTGGGGAAATGTTTTGTTGAGAGGTGTTAAGATGTGCCTGGTTGTTTCCTCTCTGCTGTTGTAATTTTAGAGTTTTTTTAATACTGGTAGCCAGATTTTGTTCATTTTCATGGTCTCCTCCTTTCTGTTGAAATTGTCCACATGCTTGTGGATTTCAATGGCTTCTCTGTAGTCTGACATGGTGGTTGTTGGAGTGGACAATTTCAACAGAAAGGAGGAGACCATGAAAATGAACAAAAAAATCTGGCTACCAGTATTAAAAAACTCAAAAATTACTACAGCAAAACAGAGAGGAAACAACCAGGCACATCTTAACACCTCTCAACAGAACATTTTCCCAGGCTCAGCCAGGCCTTCAAATGCTAATGAAGGTGATCAGCTGAAACATTCACACCTAGCTCCAGCAGGGAAGAGCTACTTGCCCCACCCCAGCCATTCCACAGATATATAAACCCATTGTCCTAATTCAACAGACCTCGCTACCTCTGAGGATGCTTGCCATAGATGCAGGCGAAACGTCAGGAGAAAATGCCTCTAGAACATGGCTCTATAACCCGAAAAAACCTACAAGAACCTATCTTGTAATAATAACCTCTTATAGTGCAGCAACTCTATTTAGCTGCCAAGTGCATCCTCAGCCAAGGCCTAGACATTGACCCCAGTCCTCAATACAAAAAGCAGAAGCTCCTAAGATTCTTGAAAGCACAAAAGTCATCTTTGACTCTTCATAACCTGAAGCCTTATATTGAGAGAAAGGCAGTATAAAAATAATGATGATGATAATCATAAATATAATAATGCAATAGCAGGAAAAGCTCCTTGCAAGAACGAA